CCCCCCATTCTCTAAGAAAACAGGGTTTTCTTTCATGAGCTTCAAAATCTCCAGCCTTTATTTTTGGGCCCATTCTTTTATTTGGATTTTGAGAGGGAAATTTGGCCAATAAAATTTAGTTTCCATTGATCAAGATAGTTATGTTATTATTTTTTTTTTCAGATTTATATATGTTTTATGAAAAATTTATGATTAAAATGATTATTTTTTTATTTATCTAAAAAATAAAAAACATAAACAAATAATTTCCAAATAAATGAACGAGCCTTATAAATAAAATAAAATAAAAAAATGAAAACACATAATCACCCGAAATCCGAATTAACACCCATGGTTTGGCAACTTTGGCGTGCCCCGAGCCCGAGGGATGTCTAAATTGTTGGACCGAAAGATGAGGGCCCATATATCCCACTTCTCCCATCTTCATATGATCAAATCCACCCATCTCTTAGTCATGTGCCATTCAATAACTTGTCTGTCCAAATTTTGTAAAAGTTTGGACAGGTGGCCTATTTGAAGAACAACCTTCGGTGTGCACACTTCTTATCTGCCAAGTGAACAGACCATGGGTGACCAAATTATTTCTCAAATAGAATAAAATAAACTAAAGATATTTAGAGAATTAGAGTGGTGGTTCATTGTCACCATCTCAACTGGAAAGCCAAAGTTAGAGGCCAGATATGCTCACAACAAAAAATTGTTTCAATACATTCTAATATGATCTGTGTTCATACATCACAGACATGGTGGGTCTTATTCTCACTGTAAGATGTGTGAGCACAGATCATGTTTGTACAATTTTTGTTGTCAGAAGATCCCACTCCACCTAAATTAAGCTTTGTAGTTTGTACACCTCCAAAACCTCAAATGGTACTTCCATCAACTGTAGCACGTGCACTTTGCATTTGCCCACTTCTCATAAAATCCTCCACTCTAGCTTCTTCTATTGCCTGGACAACCACATTGATACCATCTACTGGTATTATGGAGTTTGTGGATTATACCATCTTTTATTAGTTTATTTTGATAATACATCAATTTAGGTAGATAAGAAAATGGCATGCATCAAGAAGGCTCAATGAGATTTCTCAATTATGGAGTACAAGTTTACTTCTTTGCTTCTAAGTAACTTATGAGAAAGTTTCAAGTCGTAACCCATATAAAAGCAAGTAAGCAACCAGAAAATTTCAATTGTGTTGTCTTTTAGGCTGTGTTTGATTTGAAAGAAAATCGCATAAGCATCCAGGAAAGTTTAATTGTGTCACCTTTCCCTTCCTTTGCTTACCTTTTCTTTCAAACAAAACACAGCTTCAGAGTTCAATCATGGTACATTCATTACTATTGGCTATATTATAAAGGGTAAATTGCAAATTAGTACCCTGTACTTTAGGCTAAGTCTCATTTTGGTATCCAAATTTCAAAACATGCCAATCCAGTACCTGAGCTCCTAAAACGTCCTAATTTAATCCAAAATTGTTAACCATTGTTGAGTGGTATGTGAAAAGAGATTTTTCTCTATCAATCATCCAAATGTTCTTTGAGTTGTTCACCATTGATTTGGTTCAATGTTAATTCTTGAGGAAGAAGATGATGAATAATGTCTTATTTTGAGGATAGTTTTGACATTTTCAAAAGTTTTAAGTTGCACATGTTATCACATGATACAAATAACCATGGTTTTCAAAACCGGACTGGACCAGATGGTTGGACTGAAAAAACCGGGAACTGGTTAGGTGACCAGTTCTGTTTTACCCAGAACCATTATTTCCCCCAAAACCGTTGATTTGGTCAACAAACCACTAACTTGGGTGGTTGAACCGTTCGAATTGTTCAACGGTTTGGCTGGTTTTTTTTTATTTTTTTTAGAATGGGCAGTTCGTTCGGTTCAAACGGTCCAACCGTTCAACCCGAGAACTAGACCCCTGACTGGTTCGTTGTCCAGGTTGATTTTAAAAACCTTACAAATAACTGACGAACTATTAACAACATGGACTAATCTGTAATTTACCCTATTATAAATCCATATCTCAACAGTCACATTAAAGTCTGGTTTACTTTTCATTGATTCATGTTCTACAAAGAATAACTTCATATTTAATAAAGTGTACTTATCATTTCAACCAATTTGGTTTTTTATTGAATAGTGCAATGCAATGAATGCACCGTGTGTTTTGCCTACCATTTATCATTCAAAGAAGTAATCCCCATGAGATAGAGAGTACTTGTTCCTATCACAATGGATCCAAGAATCATAGCTTCACTTCAATCAGGTCATCATTTATCATTCAATGAAATAAACTATATTTTTTGCAATATTGATTTTGTAACTCCTAAAATCATTTGGAAATAAGTCAAGTACAAAGTTAGGGGTGATTTTTAGATAAAGGTCCATCCAAATAATGTATCCTTCTATTAATTATCCATTGCTTGAGACTCTGTTTGATTGTAAGGCATATGAACCAAATAAAAATTTTGTACCTAGAAATAAGTCACACTAAATTATGCTTTAGTTTTCATTGATTAATGTTTTACACAGTGTAATTTCATATTTAATAAAGTGTACCTTGTGTAAACTGCAGTGCAATGAATGCACCTTGTGTTTTACCTACCATTTATCATTCAAAGAAAGTAATCTCCGTGAGATGGAGAGTACTTGTTCCTATCACAATGGATTCAAGAATCATAGCTTCACTTACCATTCAATGTATTTTGCAATATTGATTCTACAATATCAAAACCCATTTGGAAATATGCCAAGTACAAAGTTAGGGGTGATTTTTGGATAAGGGTCCATCCAAATGATATATTCATGTATCAACTATATGTTGCTTGAGGCTTTGTTTGTTTGTAGGGCATTTGAACCAAATACAAATTTTGTATTTGAAATAAGTTACAATAAAGTTTGCTTTACTTTTTAGGGCTGCAATATACTTTTCCGTACTTTGGGAGAATGACTATTCAGCCCATGTCAGAATTCTTAGCCCCATCATATAGGTGGGATGAATTTTAACCGTGGATCGATGCCAAATCCATGGGTAGGATGTGGTTTATAGGGGAGGGGTTACTAGTAGATTATGGGGATTTATAATTTTATAATTCTGTAGTGAGCTGTAGTGTATTTTTCCATATTTTTTATTGGTTTATGTTTTACAAAGTGTACTTTCATATTTAATAAAGTGTACTTACTATTTTAAGTTCAACCAATCAGGTTTTTTATTGTGTAGTGCAATGCAATGAATGCAACATGTGTTTTGCCTACCAAGGATTTAAAAACCAACTCGGAAACAGAACTGCTTTGGCCACTAGTTCTGGGTTAGCGGTTCAACCACCTGGGTCAAATGATTCAACCCATAACATCAATTTTTTGAGAAATAAACCTCGTATTATATTCACATTTTTATTTATAATATTTGTTCCTACGAGTTATAGGTTGACAACTTAATTGTATTAGGAAATAAGGGACTAGGGGGAGAGGTTAGAGGTGACAAAGAGAAAGAGCATTAGAGTGTCAGAATAGAATGGGAGAGAGAGAGAGAGAGAGGTTCTAAATCCAACCTGCTGCCCCTACCCTTGAATGTAGATTGTAGGGAGGGTAGGGTTGGAGAGGGTTTTGTGTTTTCATGTGCGGGTAGAGTTTGGATTCTCAAAATCCAACCCACTATGGGTTTTGGGGCGGGCATGGGTTGGGAGGTTTAGGGAGGTGGATAGGGTCTAGAATTTAGACAACCCTCCCCGAACCTGCCCTGTTGCCATCCCTACTCTTACCTTAATTTCTCTTGTATAAAGAGAAAGACCATATCATCTTGCTTCTTACCTTACCCCTCCCAAACAAATAATTTTCCTCCTTCCTATATTCTCTTTCATATAATGCAGGGTCAGACCATTTTTTTAGACAAATAAATCATTTTTCTTTTTATTTATTTCTCGTGTACAAATAAATGAAAGTTAACATATAAAGCAAAGTTAACATATAAACCAGAATTTACACTGAAACCACTTTCACTGCTACAGATTTACACTAGTGCAAAAGAAATTCACAGTGCAACCAAATTGAATCTGAATACTTCAAGAGTAGAGTTCACGTCTAAAGTGAAATTATATGGAAGGAAAGTTTATAAGTAAATGAAAAGCACCATTAACACTTCATTTGATTGCAAAGAAGATAAATGGAAAAGAAAAAAAAAGGAGAAAAAAAATTTCTTTCACAAACGTGAGGCAGTGTGGGGGCAGTTTTGCTTTCTCACTCTCCACCGGTTTCCTTTGCTTTCTCTACCCACTTAGAGGAGAGATAATTTGCATTGGCTTCCTTGTAAGCCAAGCTAAATGCAGTGGAAGTATTTCAGTCTCTCTACAGGAAAAAGAAAAGTCACTTTCTTTAGATTTTCTTTTCCTTTCTTCTATTTGGCAACTAAATGCAATGGAAGCACTTGCATGTTCAGGAACTCCAATATAGCCTTTTCCACTCCATCTGCCAACTCTACACAGACAAAAAGCTCACCCCTCTCAGAGGTCAAGTGGGTTGGCCCATTAAATGGTCCAAAATTCCAAATGAACCTTCTGACAAAAATAACAAAAGTTGTCTGACATGTTTATGGGATGAACCTTCCAAGCTCCAACAGGCATAATGGAAATCGACCTGTGTGCCATCTCTTTGGGCGATTCCTACTTTCTACCAATAAGGCCATATTGGGTGGGAAGGAGAATTCATTTGTCTAATTGATGGAGGATCAGGACGCCTTCAATCTAATAGATTACTGGGCCAAACATCATCTATTCAAGCTGATATCAATTAGTTTATTTTATTACATCCATTTGGACCGCAGAAGGATCTATTATTGAAGTTTATAAAACTGTGGAACTAATGAAGAGATAATGCGGATAACATCTCTAATTAATTGCAAAAAATCGCTGTCGATGGGACCGATTGAGTGGTTGGTCCTTATCAGCCTAGCATGAAACACATAGTAGGCCCCTCCATATTTCAAGATTGCAAGGAAGAATATATAAACTGTATGACATTAACAATAAAAGATATCCTATAAGCAAGAAAGATACCTCGAATCATAATCTCAATACAAAGGCATAAGGGATCAGCCTCAAATGTACTTAAGTTGATTAACTCTACAAAATCCAGACCATGATGGGTATCTAACACTTTATGTGGAGCTATTTGACATTGGCAAGAGGAGTCAGGAGACCCATATGATGTATTGTGTACCCCATTTGTTGATTAAACTTGGGGCATCCGTAACTGTCTTTTTTAAGGAAAAGGAAATGGAATAATGAAGGCGTACTCTGATCTACAAACTAGAGAGAGATGCTGTTTTAACTGTAGGTGGAGCCGGGGTGAGTGTTGCATTGTCTGTCCAATTTGTCTCACCCCAGTGCCATAACATGCTCTCCCAGAAGCAAAAGTCCTCAAAGCATGTCTTTAAACGGTGATCAGTTATATTGATCCTCCAGTGCTCGTCTGTGTAGTTGGCCTTTTCCGCTTGTCTCCGGTCCCACTCCAATGCAGCCTTCTGCTTGGACCTCAATAGGCAGAACTTCTGCAAGTTCTCTGGCATTGCATCATGAACCTTCCACCAACGCTTGTGTGCAACATCACTTGCAAACTCCTGTAGTATGTCTACATTCCAATTGCAATCATAGTCCCGGAAACACAGCCAAGGTTTTAAACCCAGATAATGGAGGACATAAAGGATTGGAGGATCAGCCCCAAAGAGGTGGGTCTTCATCACTTTCTTCTCTTCTTCATCACCCATCCAGAAGTGCTTCAAGAAGTTCATGTGTTTTGGAATGCGGTGCCACCATGTAAAGACTTCATTCAGATACCCCTGGTCCCCACCATTGTAGGACTCAATTTCATTGATGTGATCCATCAGGAGTTGGAATGTACAATTTGATGGTTCAACCACCATCACCCCAGAGTTGAAGAGAGTGGCATTGTTTCCAGTTGCAGTAATCTCTGGCATCCCAAAGAGAAAATCTATGTTCCTTAGAATGAGTAGGTCTGCATCAATGAAGATGATCTTGTCATAGTCAGTCAATTGCCAGAGGCGAAACTTGCTGTAGTTCCATTCATTGTAAGCATCCCTCTCGGCTTTTGGATTCCTGATCCTCTGAATTGTCCGAATCTTCCATCCTGCTGCCTCAAGTCCCCCTCTGTGATACTCACTGATTGTCTCATCCACCAAAATCACTAGGTCCCTTGTGGAACCAACCATACGAATACTCTGTGCTGCAGCAATGGCACCACATACATATACATGGGCAGAATGAAGAATTGTTGCATATGCTTCCCGATGAACTGTTCCTGAGTATGCCCTCTCTGTTTTGCACATATTAGAGAGGATCGTTTAGTACTTTGTGATGAGTAAAACATTTTGAACTTCTCAAGAAGGCCATGGATGCTTTCAATTGGGTGAAAGCAGGACACTTTACTGCTTACATGTGGCACATCGATGGGTGTTGAAATGCCACTTGATGGATTCCAACAATAGAATTTTCAAGATAAAACTTGATCCAATCAGTTGAGTTAAATATTACATCCTACGGATTTTCCCTTGGAGGTTTCATTTGACCAAGAGTGAGATTAGATGGTTATTGGGACTCAGCACTTGGTGGTCCAAAACACCGTTAATGTCCACATGTAAGGTGGGAAGCAGGAAAAGATGACCTCTTTCCACCCTTTCATCATGGTTCACATTGACATCTATAACCATAATATATAGTCTTAACTGCATCAGAAATATAACTGACCAATAAAACCTACAACCTGATCAGTCAAATGAAAAATCAGTGGACATTAATTACAAAAAAAGAGAGTAAATTATGGTAAAAAAACCCTTCCCTTTAAATACCAGAAAATTTTCTTTGAATTAAAAAAGAAGAATGATAATATAAAACATTTTTTGCTGTTAATAACAAAATAAAGACCATCATAAAACATGGAAGAATAAATAAGCAATCTACTGACAAATGCCTGAAATAAATACTACTTAGCCAAAGTAGAAACAGATCCCTAGAGGAAGTATATGTATCAAGGTTGATTCTGAGAAAACATATCTAATTTTTATCATCTAAAGGATGCTAAATAATTGGTAACACACTAACACTATATGTTACAATTAGAACAGTGAACTTTTATTACACCTAATGAAACACAGAACACATGATGTGAATTTACCTTTGGCTTTGAGTGGAAGTGCAAGTTCACACGATCCAACAGGGAGCCCAAGCTTCTCCCTTAGTGCACTTAAATTAGGCTTGTAGAGCCATGCATTCCCTTCACGTACAATCAGATCCTTGCAAGTGAAGAGGTTTGGGATTGGGAAACAATCTGTTATAATGAGAACATGTACAGGATGATAGCCTTTAGCAAAGGCAGCAAACCTTGCTGCAGCAAGCTGCAAGTGTAACCGGGCAACATCTCTTGACCACTCCCCTGACCTGTTACAGGGAAGCTTGACTGCAATGAGATCGAGTCGTGGTGTTTTAGAAACCCCAGGCTCAGGTAGGGATGGACAAATGGGCACTTCAGATTCTTCTTCCTCATCTATCCATTCAGGATATAAGGATTCCCAAGTAACATTTTTGTCAGCATACTTTAGATGCAGAACAGCATGCTTAGCACTTGGTATCAATTTCTTCCACTGATCAATTTCACTGTCATTGAAATTTAATAGGCCTATTGTCTGATGTCCATTTCTGTCAGGCAGTCTTCCAATAGTTTGTGTGATCTGGTCCCAGTTAACATCTACATATGACACATAACGTGGATCTATGACAGGCCTCTCCCATATCCATCTGTCTACAAAACTTGGCCTGCACCAACTTAACCTTCAAAATCTTGAAAAACAAATATAAATACCAAGTTTATATACCAAACAGAATTTGTACAAATAAAAAATATCCAACCATAAGGAAAATTTTATGATTATCCAATCAAAAAGGAAACTTTGGCCATCATACAGGGTTCAAAAATAAGGGACAACCAGTAAAACTACAAGCATATCCCCTGCCTTTCTTTTTTTTTTATAGAACTAGGTGCTTTGTCCTTAGAAAAGAGAGGTTGAAGGAAAACACAACTCAGATTCTCATGCTAACTTGTTAACATGATAGTTTGATGTAATAATGGACTGTTAAAAACATGGGGTACTCGAATCAAGCATGAAACTGTTTGAATTATCTTAATTACCATTCAGATTCTGACATGAGACATCTAAATGGGACACAGGTGATGCAGATATGGAAGCATGGAAAGAATCTACAGAGAAATAAACTGGTTTTTCAATTCCTACAACAATTTCATTTTTTTTTGATAGGGATATTGGTATTTTTGAGGGCTGAGGTGATGGTCATGCTTGAGGGAGTGCAAAGGGCAAGAAGTTTAAATATTAGGAAACTAATTATTGAAGGACACTCCAAGCTGGTTGTGGGTTGGTTACAAAGTGAGGAAGCAAAGTTGTGGAAACACAATAATGAAAGAAAGAGGTTCAGATGGTTGACAAAGGACATGGAGGTGAGGCTTCATTGGGTCAAAAGAAGTGCTAATTCTTTAGCTGATGCCTTAACCAAACAAGGGGTGGGGAGAGATCAACTCTTTTGGGCACAATTGTAAGAAAAAGGAAGAGCTTTTGGGGGGAATGATATGTGGGTTTATCTTTCTTCGGTTGTATTTTCAATCTGTATAGTTCTTAATTAATGAAATTCACAGTAAATTTTTTAAATTTATTATGTAGTTATAGGTCTATTAGGAATAGGGCTTGAAGCTCTCTAGAAATTTACTGTTATTTCAAAATTACTATTTATGGAAATTTTAAGCTTACATTGTATGGTAATTCTCATAATTGCTATTTATAGTAAAATGGCAATTACTAGTTTTAGTAATTTCAGGTGTCTTTATATGTTTTTGGTAGGAATGATGTCTTAAATAAGGACCTCTTAATGCCTAAATCAACTCTAATAACACAATACTAATCCTACTGGTGTTGTTATATTAAGTTTTAGTAGGATTAGTATCAAGTTATTACAGTTGTTTTAGGTGTTAAAGTCCTTATTTAAGTGTTCCTATGGGTTACCTATGGATTTTTCTTCATTTCAAACAATTAAATTGGAATCTGTTATGGGACATTCAAGTTCTCATTGTGAGCATATAAATAGTCATTGTAATTGCAATTTTTCTATCAATAAAACTTTAGTTCATTAGATAAAAAATAGGGTCGTTTACTAAGACACCCTTATAGGTTCATGTAAATACTAAGGCCTATCCTCTACTTTACATATTACTAACTACTAAGGCACCTCCTCTACTTTGCAACCACTTTACTTGGTGTACCTTCTGTTAGTAATTGTTTGTCTATCCGATTGGGAATGGTATCCCTGTAAAAAGTCTCATATCATCCTTTTAGAAAGGAAACCCTCCCCTACATTATTTTATTCCCAAAAATAAAACAAAAAGTAATAGGAAAAAAAAAACAAAAATTAAAGCAAAAAAAGTGTAGATAATACTAGTAGTAGTAGTAAAAATATTTTTTATTGCCTATTTTGTTTTTACTTTTTATTTATTTTATCTTCCTTTATTTTCTATTTTAATTTATTGTTTTTTCTTATTTTTCATATTATTTTCTATTTTTTTTATTCTTTATTTTCTGTTATTTCAAATCAACATTTTGGTTATTTCTTTTCTTTTAATTATTTAGATCAAAGAGATGTTAGAGTCAAAAATGTTATTTTACATTTCCATCCAAGAGAAATAGTAATAAAGGGTTGCAAAATAGAGGGATGTCTTAGTAATACACAAACTATAGGATAGGTGTTAATAATTACTTGAAACTATAGGAAGTGTCTTAGTAAATGACCTTAAAAATTATATACAGAATATGCAATCATAGGTCAGAGAGAATGGACAAGCCATCTCCCCCCATATCCTTAGAAAGTTTACCTCTCCTATTCTTGTAATTACCTTTTTATAAATCTAATGAAATTCTGTTATTGATAAAAAAATGGAACTACATTGTGGTTACATAGCCAACCAATTATGACCTTAGAGTCCCTTTTAATAATTAACTTCTCCAATTTCATAACCTTAGAGTCATTGTAAATTTGTAATTGCAATTTAGAAGAGTTGATAATGAAATAAAGTTTGGTTTAGTGATTTCTGGTATTGCCAGGATTTCTTTCCTTATTTTTTTAATTTTTTATTCTCAGCTATTTCTTCTTCTAAGTAATCTATCTTATTGTTGTTTACCATAATAGCAAGGGTTCTTCTTCATCTTTCTAATCTTTTGCTCGTTCTTTGGTAGGTGGCAAGCTGTCTACTTGCTTCTCTATCTCTATTCTTCATCCTTAACCATACAAAAATCCCTCCACCCCACAAAGCCCACTAGCATATCTGAGATTCGTAGGACCCCCACCCTGTTTTACATCAAAAGAATAACTTTTACCTGCATGCCAATTGTAAATGCTAACCACACCATGCATCTATACAAGTTTACCACACTTCAGGAGGTAAGAAATAAAAGCAAAAAATAAGAATTAAACATACCTAGAACCAGAGTCTGATTGGTACTCATTATAAACTGCGGGAGAGTGAAGGAATGTTAAGAAAGTGCCAAAGATAATAATAACCAGTACAAGTTTCAAAGAAAGAAACTTGCAATTTCGGTTCCTATCTTGGATGGAAACCTGGAAGTGCTTCTCAACATCTTTAAAATCTTTGTTTCTCTGGAATCTTCTCTTATTTGTGTCATCACTGCAGAAAACAAGTAATCATGATGCACTTAGTAAACGAACTAGGTATAAGAGAAATTTAGGGAGAGGAAGCAAACTAGGTTAAAGAAACTTGTGGCCAAAGGGAAACATATGGTAAATTAGAGAATTCTCATAAACAAAGATAATTTTCTTTTGACCAATAACCAATGATCAAAGAAATCATTGATGTGGAAATAAAGGAGAGAGAATCCTATATACACAGCTAACAAACTGACTAAAACATATAAACAAAACCAGAAAATAAAGCGCCTTACTGCTGAACCTTGGGGTCTGGAGACCGCATACAAGGTCATCTCTCTCAACCCCACCCTAGCAAGAGTATCAGCAAGATTAGTTGCTGATCTGAGTACCCTGATGAATGGGTACTCCATTTAGAAGAGTCTATGTGATGTAGGATGATGGATAGGAGAAAGCCTTATAAATCAAATTTGTGGTATGCTGAATGGAGAAGCAATATATTTTGTATGAGAATCTCTAGATGTCTATAAAGGACACTCAAACAATTTAGACAAGTTCATGAGATGTAGGAGCTTTTTTTTTGAAGAGTAAAAATAAATTTTTTTATTGATAAAATAAAAAAGAGGATACAACCTGAACAGGGGTGTTAAGATAATACTCGATTCACATACCGCAACAGAAGGATTGCAAACACACAAAAGCTAACAAAAATAAAAACAGAGACCCTCCCCCCCCCACTTCAAAAAGTGTCGTCCATGTGATGCAGGATCAATAGGAGGAAGCGCTACAAATCAAAATTGTAGAACACTGAGTGAAAAAGCAATCAAACTTGTAAGTCAAGGAAAATTAACCCAGTGATCGGTTGATAATTGATTTAGGATGGTTCTAGCATTTTTACAAAAGAGATTGATGGATTTATGATGGAGAAAAAAATGAAAGTTTTGAAGATGTTTAGGTCTGGGAATAAACCAATTGTGTGCAAACTTTAGCAGCACAAGGTGCAATGTGGAATAGCTGTATAAGCTATGGGGTATGGTAGGGAGAACCATGTGGTATTTGTGAGCTGCAAGATAATAGAAAATAAGAGGAGAAAGAGAGAGGGTGGAGGGAGATGAGGGTTAGACCAGTTGTTTTAAGCCTATGTTTGGGAGTGCTTGTTTCATAAATAGTGCTTATCCTAATAAGTTCTCACGAGTGTTTGGTGAAAAAACACTTATTTCAAACAGGGGTAGTACAGAGGTATTTTCAAAATGACGTGGTGGGCCAAAAAGGAAATAAGCAATTATTAATAAGCTCAAATTTTGGGCTTCTTAAATAAGTGCTTATTTTCAAGAATAAGGACTTAATTGGGCTTATTTCCCAAACACAAATAAGTGATTATTGGTGTGGCCCTGGCCCAAAATAAGTGCTTATTTGAATAAGCACTCCCAAACTTAGCCTACACAACCTAGTAGTTTTACTCCCGTGTGGCTCAACCCAATTTGTAAGGACAGGACCAGATCTAAAACCCCCACATATATAAACAACTGCCAAGAAATGTTTAGAGAACTGGACAGGACATAGAACTGGAAAGGGGAGAGGTTCACAGGTTAGAGGTTCAACCACGATCAAACCGGAGGTCAAACTGTGTATAATATATGATATATTATACAAATACTATGTATAATATATGATATACTATACAAATATTGTTGTACTTGAAAAAATGTGGTGGATAGACAGTTAGTTCTTTAATTTTTAAAGCAATTGACTAGGGTTCAAACCTCCCAACTTGCGTTTTCTTTAAAATACATATGTGTTAAATAAATATGTACATTACTTCATAAATAAACACAAATAATGAAGTTGACTAATAGTAATAAATCAATATGCTTGAAAAAAAGGTCATGGATTCAAATCATATCATTTGCATTTTGAAAATTCTATACATTTGAGACCTGGGCAGTTTTAGGAAACCGGTCCACCGGTTTTTTTTATCAGCAAAAAACTTTCATTAATATTAGAGAAATTAAGTTACAATAGAGAAAGATTGCAGAGGGACAGACTGCAATCTCCAGTAACTAGTTACAGTTCTGCTCAGTACAATGAAGATTTATTTGCCCCTTGTTTTGCTAGGGTATCCGCCATCCCATTTGCATCCCGTTTGACCCAACCAAACTGAGAGTTGAACTTCCTTGCAAGTGTGTCAATTTCTCGGAAGACAAATCTGAACTTCCAAGGTACTGATGTGATGTTTTTAGCCCAAGAGATGACCAATAGTGAGTCTCCTTCTACTTCTAAGTCTGTTGTTCCTATCCCGTTTGACCCCCCTATCTGGACATAGGCCTGATCATGGCTTAACCAGTTTGACTGGATGGTCCAGCTCAGTTTCCTAAACACTGCTGCTATGGATAACCTCCTTATTTAGAGGTTAAATTGACCTCTAAACTAATCAGCTTTCCAAAGTATACAGAAACTCTTCTCTGAGTGTCCCAATCAGTCCAATACTCCTTAAATGGTGTAGACAGCATGTTAAATGGGAATTTATTCTAACAGAGATATGAGGACAGAGCTTATGAGACAGTTTTGACACAAGCTATATACAACTAACATGGGACAGGATTCTCCACTTCTTTTGGGAAATTCTAACCCAATTTGGTCTGTGGAAGGCTTAGATTTAGTTTGCCTAAGAATTTAAAACACATATTTTAGAGTTTGTTTTCTATAAGAGAAAGAATAATGGACTCAAGTTGATTTGCTCTCCACCCTCTCGGTCTCTCCCCAAAAACAACACATCTTAACTATTTCTAATTGGAAGATAGTAAGAATGGACAAAAAAAGTAGAATTACATGGAAAGATCAAAGTAATGGCATGAATTTCAAAGGAAGACTTAATCCAATTTAACCTAAGCCATATTTGATATTTATGGCACATGAAAATTTTAGAAAGGGTTAAACTCACCATGAGTGACATAATAAGTCTATTTATTTCATTAAGCAGTAGCATCTAGGGATTTCATAGGAATTAACACAAAGGATATCATGAGAAATGGGTGTGCAATAGTTGAGGCTAGCCTACATGTATAAGGGATGTAGGGCTTATTGTACATAGTCATTCTTTTATTCATAAGTTTTTAAGTTATCCATAAAAAAAAGGTGTGCAATGGCATAGTCATCACATTTTCCAAACGATATCTACGTGACCTTGGTGGAATTTCTTGCAGACTTAATAATTTATCTGCCTATTTGGGTCCCATGGAGTCTCCTGATTGCAATGAAACTAGTTTCCCTTTTACACAGCTAGGATTAGCCAAAGACACTAAATCAACTAACTTAGTGGTTGATGGTGCCTCTAAGATGCACCAAATTAAGGAAGCCGAATATGTAGCATAGAAATTGCATGACATATTCAAAGGAATTAAGAAACCCAATCTCTTCAATTTGCATAAATATCTCTCTTGATTTACAAGATTGAAAATTAATGAAGCAAATGAAAGCAGTTAGGGCAGCAGTGGTGTGGACTGTAAAAAAATGCACGGATCTTCAATGAAAAGCAAAGGTGAAAAGAAGAAATTGTGGATTCTATAAAGATAAAAGGTTGCTGGGTAAAAACACTAGAGCACTTTCAAAGCTTTTCAGTGACTGACATTACAAGAGCATGGAATGAAGTTGCACACTCCACTAAAGGGAAAGATAAAAAGGTGATGGACTAGAAGCCCCCAGATGGCAATAAAATAAAGCTGAACTTCGATGGGAGCTCTTTAGGAAACTTGGTGTTCTGTTTGTGCCTCGAATTCTTTGTGGCGGCCCACTTCATGAACCCGCTCCGAAATAATTTGAGAAAAACCCGAAGGCAAATTTTCATGGTGGTTTATGGTGGAAGAGTTATGTATTTCTTCGAGGGTTTTCTCTCTTGTATACTTAGTCTTTTGTCTTGTGAGAGAAAAGAGAGACATTGGGTGTATTTTGGGGTTCAGGGTTTTTCTGTGAGTGAGATTGTGAGTACACAACTCTGTATTTCTTCTCCATTGCTGACTACATAGTGGATTTCTGCTCCTCCTTCACCCATGGACGTAGGCTATAATCCGAACCACATAAATTTGTGTGTTCTTTGTGCTTTCTCCTCTTTATCTCTGTTTTACATTTATTTGGTTCAGTCATCTGTCACTAAGAGAACATTGACAATTGTACGGCATGTACTGGACTTGAAGAAAAATCTCATCTCTCTTGGCACTTGTAGAGAACATTGATGTGGGTCCCACTCTGTCGTAGGGTAGAATGTATCTAGTCATAGCTGATGGTCAATTTATTATTCTGTTATTCTAGTTGTTATTTACTTTTCAGTTTTATATTGTTACGTGTTATGATGTAAACACCAAGGGCAGATATGTCCTTTCATGTAACTAGCATAACATATAAATATTAAATTGAAGTGGCGGCGGCAGAATATTGAGATTCTGTTCTCCTCAAAACCTGTGTTCTACTGCTCTCTCACCACTCTTTCTCCTCCTTCTTCACTTTCTCTTCTCTTCGAACCTGAAGTTTCTTAGTGATCAAGACTGATAGCAGTCTTGAACACCTACAACACTCTTGATGCTAATGGGTCAATTGAAGGTGGAGTTCTGAAAGTTAGTAAGGGTGCTATTGTTGTGATGAAAGGACGAGGATGGGAAGTTTGTATGTGCTAGAAGGTACTACTATCACAGGTTCAGTTGCAATTTCTACATCATGTCTAACACCACCAAGTTATGGCACATGAGGCTAGGACATATGAGTGAAAGGGGACTGATTGTATTAAGCAAGATAGGTTTTCTTTGTGGCCAAAGTACATGAAAACTTGACTTCTATGAACATTGCATTTTTGGGAAGCAGAAAAGAACCGGCTTTAGTACAACCGTTCATAGGACAAAGGGCACTTTGGATTATGTTCACTCAGATCTATGGGGACCTTCACAAGTTCCATCAAATGGTGGTGCTCGATATCTCCTTGCCATTACCGATGACTACTCCAGGAAGGTATGGGTTTATTTTCTGAAGCATAAG